CCTGCAGCATTACCTGGAGGTCTAAGTCAGAAATGCAAAAGCCCAGACCTCTCCCCAGATCTACTGAAGCAGATTCTGTAGTTTAACAAGAGTCCCCTAGGACTCCTGTGTATGTTAAAGTCTATGAAGCAACGTTAAAATATCATGGTAGTATGTGATTACTAGTAAGGTAAGTCATACAGGATAAAAAGAAAATTAGTACACCAAACCTCTGAAAGAAGTTCTAAACCTTTTCAGAGTTAGAATTCAAGAGTTCCTGGAATCCTCAGACTATGAATACACTAACCCCTAAGCACATGTTTACCAAAGGCATAAATGCCCCAAGGGCTCTGGCCTAGTTCTTAAAATATGCTTTAGATTCAGGATGAACCAATTTGTTGGTTGTAACTGATTCCTTAGTTTTGGCTGTGAAAGAACAAGAAAGTCTTACTTGTAGCACACAGTGAGTCACAAAGGCAAACTAAAGATTGGCTATTTCTCTGAAGCAGTTCATAAATGGCAGATACAAGGACAAAGACTTGGTACCTATCCAGAGGAACTCAGAGGCCTAACGTTAGCTCCCTGGGTTGAAATTTATGGACGTGGAAAACTAAGAACAAAATGGTAACAACAAGCCATGATATATCAGTAATCACCCTTAATGTAAATAGCCTAAACTCACCCACCAAAAAGCACAGAATAGTTGATAGAATTAGAAAATAAAACCTAACTTTTTCTGCTGTCACAGATTAAGCTGAACTCCAAAGATAAATCCAGGCTCAAAATAAAAAGTTGGAAAACTATCCTCCAAGCAAATGTGACCCCCTAAAAGTAAGAGACAGCTATAGTTATATATCAAAAATTAGATTTCTAGCTGAAGCATGTAACAAGAGACAGGGAGGGGCATTATGTAATGTAAAGAGAATAATTCAACAGGAAGGTATAACATTCACCAATACTTATGCACCAAAAGAAGGAGCAGGAAGTTATGACAGCCTCACAAAAATAGTAGCAGACTTCAAAACTCTACTTATATTAATGGACAACTCGATAAGACAAATCAACAAAGAGCCATCAGCATTTGATGAGGAATTAATAGGAAAAAGGCTAAGTATCATTCTTCTCAGTTGCTCATTGAACATTCTTGAGAACAGACTCGGTACTCGAAAGAATAAAAATGGAAATCATATCAAGTATCTTCTTTGATCTTAAGGGTATCAAACTAGAAATCACTCACTAAAAGAAAGAGGAAAATCCATCAAATACATAGAAACTAAGCTTAGTGTTACTGAATAACTATCAGTTGAGGAAGAAACCAAAGATAAAATACAATAATACCCAGGGGAAAATGAAAACAAAGACATGAGCTAGTAGAACCTATGGACACAGCAAAATAAATAAATATTTGTGGTAAATACTATCCATTTTATGCAACCCCTAAAATGATATGACCTCTTCATTTTTCCTGGTCACTGTAATGTTTTCTATTGTCTATTAGTGATATTAATAGTAATGATGAGAATAATAGTAATTATATTAACAGATAAAAGTAATTAAATAGATCTATTTACAAGTATTGTGAACAGCACTTTACATGTCTCCTCCAGTATTATAAGTCACATATCACAACTATCTTTTTTTGAATAATTAAATTGTGAGTCCAAATGGTTAAGCAATTTACCTAGGACCACATGATAATAAATGATAGAAGAAGGACATGATTGGGCAATGTCCATTCTTCTGAAAAAGTATCAAATCAATGGTCTTAAATTTATGTAGGCTTTATGATAATGATTATATATATTAGGGCAATTTATTTATAAGGTAACATACATATTTTATGTGTATAATTCAGTTACTTTTAATAAGGATGCCACTATCACCCCATCAAATGATTTTAAAGATTTATTTATTTATGCATAAAAAACTGGGGTACAGGCCAGAGGTGCAGGGGTGGTGAGAAGATTCACCAGAGACAAGTGGGGAGCAGAGCAGGCAGACTGATGACTGCTGAGAGGAGCAGCGGGCGGGTCAGGAGAGGTCTGCAGCACCATGCGGATCATCTCCAGGAGAGAGGGGATGGAACTCATGCTGAAGTGGCTTTAGCTTCTTAGTGCTGTGCTTTAACCCACTGTTTCACCAGGGAGGCCCCAATATCATGTTTTTAACAAAGCTCCTTTAGACTTACATACACCAATTCAGTTACTCACAATAAGAAGAAAGCATTGTTATGGTATTTTTTCACCAGAGATTAGCTTTGTCTGTTTTTGAATTTGTGAAATGATGCATATTATATGTACTGTTTTGTGTCTAGCTACTTTTATTGACATAATATTTTATGAGAGTCGTCCATATTGTATATATCAGTAGGGTATTTGTTTTCTTTTTAATCGAAGTCATATTAATTAAATGAAGAACCACATTTTCCCATTCTTTTGTTAATACTTGGATAATTTCCTATTTTTGGTTTTCATGAATAAAGCCACTATGAATATTCTTGTACATGTTATCTGTGGACAGATGCTTCCATTTTTCATGAGGTGTAGAATCTGGGTCACTGTCAGGGTATATTTAGCTTTATAAGACTTTGCCATAGAGTTTTCCAAAGAAAGTGTATCACTTTACACTTCAGCACTGGGTGAGAGTTCTAGTTGCTTCACATGTTTGGAAACATTTGGTGTTGTCATTTTACTTATTTTAGCTAATATATGTGTGAAAGGTACATTAACCAAAACCTGATATCACTGTGACCCCTTCTAAAATTTAACACATGGTATGGTTATTTTGATATAGCTGCTTCTCCTAATAGGTTGGAAGCTCTCAGACAACTAATATATTACTGTATCATTTTTATAGTTTTCCAAATGCCTAAAATACAGCCTGAATTAGAAGAGGTATTAGAAAAAAAAATTCAATAAATTTTGGTTAGGAATACTTCAGATTATATTTTTTTTACTCCTTTGCCAACTTTACACCAGGAGAATAAAAAGTGCCAGCCATAATTATAGGAAGAATGAGTGTTATCTGGGGTATAAATGTCTGAGGATATAGGCTTAGCTCAGATTAAAGGAGATTATAAAATAGGATTCTAGGGTATATTCCCTCATTGTACACCAGCAGTATATGGGGACTCGGAAAACATCCAGCTGCCTTGACTCAGCCCAGATGTATAAATTCTGTTGGTCTTGAAGTGAGGCTAGCTGTTGATCTTTCATAGATATTCCTTAGATACCTCTATTGTGAAACTGGGGTCATGGATCTCTGTCACCAATAAAATGGGGTGAAGAAATGGTAGGTGAATCTTAACAATGATAGTTCATTTGTTCCATACAAGTAACAATCTGATTAGGTCTCCCTCTCAAAGAGATTATCACACTTAACCTATCTGTGATTCAAAACTATAGGTAAGTAATTGTCAGTTTTCTTCTTTATCCTCCTCTAAGTAGATAGAACCTGTATACACCAATCACCTGTTGTGCTGTAGATTCCACAGTATATGTCACAATGGTGGTACTATCAATAGGACTTCCCATGATCTCGTAATAAGCTCCTTATTTGAACCTCTAAAAGATTGCTATTCCAAACTTGAATTCCAGGTACTATCAAGATAATTTGAGTCTATATGTAACAATTAATGATAAACAGAACTGAAATAATTTAACTTGACTTATAAAGACTAGCAAAGATGGAATATTAGATGCAAAGTTAAGAAGCAGACTCAATTCAATTTATTTTCAGTTAGTACTGGATTTAGTGTTGCAGCTGAACTGCAGGTCCGAAGGCCCTCAAGTCTGGTTTTTCAGAGGACCTGACCTTGTCCTTGACTCCAGAGTATTCATTTACACACAGTTGCTAAAGCCCAACCTCTCTTCACAGTAAGAAAAGCTTTTTCATTAGAGAAACTCTACAATTTAGAAAAGGAGGTTCACTTTAGAATGTACCCATGCATTTGCATTCTTTTCCTATGGGACAGTTGTTCTTTGGTTTGTGATTTCTGTGAGGTGGACTTAATAGAACTGGAACTATTCTTCCTCAGTTTATGGGTTTCCTTCTCCTCACTTCTATCTTTGTTATTTCCTTAAAAGATGGAGGGGATCACCAAGAAAGAGGAACAGCAAAAAGTTAGAGAGAAAGAGAAGGTACAGGAAAAAAGTGTTAAGAAGTCAGAGAGAAAACAGGTACATGTACGTGTGCAGGTGTGTTACATGCACATGGGCACATGTGGAAAGGGAAAAGTTCTGATGACAGTAATGAATAATTTGAATAAGAAACGATGAACTATAAATACCCTCACACATAATATAGGTTGACACCCTTATTTTATAGATGAAAAAATGGAGTACAATAGAGACGAAAGGGTTTTCACAGGTGATGCAATAAGTCAGGTGCAGAGCTGGATGAGAGACCTCAGGTGTCCACCACTACCTACTCCTAAATATTTCCTAATACTTCCCATGCTGGCCCATCAAGTCTCTCACAAGAAACAGCCTCCTGCCTCCTCCTCACAATCCAGCCACCCTACCCAGAGCCTGAAAGCACATTAAAGAAATTGAATAGATGGTTTGTATATGGGGGCAGTGTTAAAATATGCAGAGGATGGGGCTAGTGAATGGAGGTATTATGCTGAGGGAGACCATTTTTTTAAACCTGTCTATAACCTAAAACTTTAAAAAAGTCTTCAACCTTTCCCAGACAGAGTTTTAGAAAAGCAATAGTTGTAACCTTTTTCATAAAATTAAATGGCAATCCTAAGAGATCAGTCATTTCTTCAGAGGTCTCATTGCAGTACTGTTAGTACCAGTGAAATTAGTGTGGTTGGGTTATACTTAACAATAGAGGTGCTTGATGCACTTCAACCCTCTAATCTGGGTCAGCAAGGTTAACAGGCTAGGAGTGGATATAAACATAGGTTTCATAAAGCTAAGTTCCCAGTTTAAAGAATAAGGACAAAGTCCTACCAGTGATCTTGACTTTCTTCTAGAATCAGGTGGTATAAATTGGATAAATATGTTGACACTCACTGTTGTGTTTGAAGATTCTTATGGTTGCTCCTGAAAGTCGGGCCCCGAGCACCAGAGATGCATGGTTCAGCTCATCACTTAATATGAGGCATCCCTGTGCAAAAAAGTAAAGCACACCAAACAAAGACCAGTAAATAAAATGAAAGAAAAACAGTATGAGGAAATGCTAAGACTTTTCAAGACCTGGTACACAGATCCACCAAACCCTCTTGAATTTCAAAAGCCCAAGAATTTGACTTGATGTCTAAATGTCTAAAAAAATCATGGAAGGCACTTAGCTAATGGAAATGGGGATTGTCTCAAGGAGTTACATCTTTCATCATTTGCATATAGTTTTCAGCAGAAAAGAGTATTCAAATGCACAAGGCATGGGTCAAGTTTATCTTTCCTTAACCTGTATCTTCCCTCATATGAGGACACAGATGAGTCCCATTTAGTAATTTACTAAAGGAATAAATAAATAATGACTTAAGTGTTTTGACCAAATAAATGCTTAATAAGCTTTTGCTACATTTCAAATGAGCATGTGGGAGCTAAAATTTAAGGGATTATGTTATACTGTCAGCAAAGACAAATTTTGATCCACACCTAGGGCTGCAATTCCATACTTGGACTATCGTAATGAAGATTTACTGGACTTAGCTGGTATATTTCTTTAAATAGCTGCACAGTTAGTAGCTTTTCCAAAGAAAATGACTGACTCTATCATATTTCTAACAAAACCTTACTCAGAGTAATAATTCTTAGGAATAATATAGCCAAAGACAATTATGTTAACAAATTCTTACCTTTCCAACCAGTGCAGGGATATTCATTGAGTTAGTTGCAAATCCCATTCCAAAGACCATAGCTGCTTCTACATTGAGGAACTTAGCCACAAGGTTCTCCAATTCTATATGCTTATCCAAGGTGCCTACATGTAAATAATAGAAGGAATGGCTTCTCTATTCAACAAGTTATTATTAAAAATTCAAATTCTAGTACATATCCACTACCAAAAGACATGTACCTCAGAGTATGTAACAGATATATTTCTATAGCCCAATCTAGAAACAACTCAAAAGTTTAACTACTGTAGGATGGGTAAATACATGGATCGGGGTATTTAGATAGTGGAATTTAACAGTAATTCAAAGATGAAACTACTGCTCCACACAATAGCAATGATAATAATCTCACAAATACCTGGCTCACTGAAAATAAGATACTTATACACTGATACAGGCTGTTTGAGTCTATTTACATAAAGCCTAGCAAAAAGCAGACTAACCTACAGTGTTAGAAGTCAGGACAGTGATTATTCTTGTTGAGCACTTGAAGAGAAGATTCTCTCAAGTTTTGTTTCTAGATCTGTGTGCTACTGTGTGGATACTCACTCATTTGCTTTGTTAAAATCCTTTGAGTTATATATTTATGATTGCTGAACTTTTTATATATTTTGTAATTTGCAATAAAACTCACAAGAATAATGTAATTCCTCCTCTTCCTCTATCTGCCACAAATAATTAAGTTACAGTCCCTCAGCGGTTCCTCATATTTAAATGCAAACATATTACATGATTTCTGTAGGTGTTAATAACCTTAGTTCTAATTTATTGAACTTTTGGAATATGCTAAATTTTATAATCCATAATGTAGGTTATTTCATTTAATCTTATACTTCCAATAATGTATTTTATACATAAGAAAATTGAAATGTAAAGAAGTCACAGAAAATAATCAAAAGAGAAAACGTAGTCTAACTTTAAGATTCATGTTGTTAGTACACTACTACATTTCTATGCCTATTAGATTCTCCTTATAAGTAATCTTCTCAGGCCTTACCAAGAACAAAATATTTCTGCCCGTAAATTTTTCTGTTTGCTGTCACCCTAACTAGTAGATCTGCATTGTCCATTGTGGTAGAACCAGCTGCATGTGATTAGTGTGATAGAAGAAATTAGTTCCAAATTTTATTTAATTTTGGTTATATTTCCACCAATGAAAATTGGATGTGTGAATTGAGATATGCCATAAGGATAAAATATACACCATTTCTTTGCACAACAACAAAAATGGTGTAATATTTTTATATTGATTACATGTTTAAGTCATAATATTTTGGATACACTGGGTCAAATAGTATCTACTATAAGATTGGTTAATCTGTGTTTTTCTATTTTTAAAATGTCATATCAGAAAATTTCAAATGACACATGTCTTGCATTATATTTTTACTGGACAGATACGCTCTACATGATACACTTAACAGAAAAATCACAAGTAGAGAAATGCTGTATTTGCATCCATAAGACATAGGATCAAATTTAACTCAGATTTAAGTTAGAGGAATCTTGTTAGTAAGCATGTTCAGGACTCTTTTAAACAACCTAAAGATCAACATATTTTCAACCTAAAGATTAATATATTTTACTGTGAGTGAAACATCAGAATGTCAGTATAATTGGTAAATTAGCCTGTTTACTGGGCAAAATGGTAAAATGTAAAACTTTAAAAGGCATTGAATTGTCAAACTTTTACTTTGCTTTTAATATGAAGAAAATATTTGATAGCTGAAAGATCATATTGTTATGATGACCTATCTTCTCAAGTGAGATTTATCATTCAATTTAGAAGAAACCACTATTAGAAAACAGTTATTCTAATAGTCAATTTAACTCAATATGTTGGGGGAAATTACAAATTTAAATTCTAAGTACAGCACTCAGTTGTTAAAGATAAACTATAAAAAAAGAGATAAAAATTAAAAAATACAATATCACTATATAATCCTTTGTCGAATTTTTTTTTTTTTAAGATTTAGTTATTATGCATACAGAACACTAGGGTACAGGCCGGAGGTGTAGGGGCGGTGAGATGATTCACCAGAGACAGGGTGGGGAGCAGAACAGGCAGATCGACGAAGTACACTGCTGAGGGGAGCAGCCAGCGGGTCAGGAGAGGCCTGCCGTGCCATGTGGATCACCTCCAGGGCTGGGACTGAACTCATGCTGAAGTGGCTTTAGCTTCTTAGTGCTGTGCTTTAGTCTGCTGTGCCATCAGGGAGGGCCCTGTCAAATTTATTTTTACCTAACTGAGGCTGCTCCTACAAGGAAGAATTTCCAGATTAGGTAGTAAGCAGACCACTGGCTTGTGCTAGAGGTAAGTTTTATGGCTCCAGCTTTTGTACTAAATAACTGGAAAGTCTTTGGACCTGTCTCACTGAAGTTTCTGGATAGGTGCTTTAGGCTTCTAACAGTGGAAGCGCTCTTTCTTCCAAATAAAATGGTGTTCTTGCAGCCCCCACTCACTCCCTGAGAACCACCTAAAATGACTTCTTCAATGCTGTTCTCAGCTTCTCCAGGCCAATGTGGTTATTTTCTCTTCCATGATCAAAATGTTTCATCATACAAAGATTATGACACTTATTATGGTAAAGTCATTCAAGCAAAATTACATATCCATTATATGCAATGGATAATACATTGAGTGTATTATCCATTACAGAAAAAGCCCTCAAGATACAGATACTGTGTGTGAGATGGTCATCTTGGTCGATTGTAGCCTTTAGCACAGGACTGACTTGTAGTAGGTGTTTGTTGAGTTGCATTCTGTTTTTTGATGAAGAATGAAGATAGAACAGAGCTTAGAGCAGTGGATGGTTCAGGAAATAAGGTCAAGAGACCCTTTGATGCTATGCAACAAGGTGAGTAGCCAGTGAACGCCAGTTCGAAACACCCATACCTGACAGAGGCCCCCAGCAAGGAAGGTGGCTTCCAAACTTCCACCTTGATGACTTTCACATGTGTCTTTCCTCCCAATAAGGTCAAGGGACAACCATACATGAGTAGAAGTTCACAATCAATCTGTGATATTTTTCTCTACCTTTGTCTTTTCCAAATCTGTCACCCCAGTTTATCTATAACAGTTGTATCACTAAAATCCTTAGGCTAACATGAGCTGTGTTATAAACAATCAAATAGCCAAAGTAATGAGGAAAAGGTGTATCTAAGAACATTCTGAGAAATTGCTCTCTAGCAGGTTTCTAGCATTAGCCCAAGCTTAAAAAGGAGAAACACAGATGTCTCTGTGAAGTCTCCAGACAAGAGTCTTCCCCTGTATTTCTAGTCAGTTTTGTTAGTAAAGAAATTTTCAAATATATCAATTTTCATGATCAAGTGTCTCAAAATGGAGTTATGGCTGATTTTATATCTATGGGCTTACTTTAATTTGTAGAAAATAGCCCTCAATCTCAACCTTCATTATCATGGATTTTCTCTTTAGTGTACACATCTCAGATTTCATAAAGAGACCTGAGAGATTCCTGGGAAAGCTGGGCATCTAACTGTTTACTAAGAAACAAGAAAGAGCTTTCTCCCTCCTGCTTTTCACATTCAAGAAGTAAAAATGTCGGGAGAGCTTGGAAAAAGAAAGCACTCATTAGAAACAACTTGCTTCTATAAACATTCAGCTCCAACTCGAACTGAGTTTCCTGAGTCATATTAGGTCACAAGTGCTTAGCTGAATAATTGGGTAGTTTTGGAAATTATATTCAATATTTTGTCTTTAATACAGAAATATCAGCATTTTTTAATCCCGTGAAAGCTTAGCTATAGTCCTAATTGGATATACAAACAAATACACAATAATTTTTATTTCTGTTTCACTTTATGCTTTTAGTCTTTATTTTCTGAAGACCAATAACAGTCACAAATTGGCTAGTGATAGTGTATCTCCAAAGAGCTATCTTATCTTCATACTGACGATGTACTCATACTGAAGGTTTATTTATCCAATGAGATTCTAAAAACCTATTTTGTGCATAAAACTAGCTCAGTGTATCCTCTTGTCAGCCCTCATCAATATTTTCATGTGCCAAGCACTGGGTTTGCCACTATCGGTTGAATCAGTAAAAATTGGATTCTGGAAAGAACAATTATATTCATGGACTGTATACTTCTGCTGGGTTTTTGTTGATATTGAGTGGCTCATCCTTCAGAGGCAGGTCATAAAGATTGCTGGTCCTATTGACAGTGATTAATAGTAAAGAGTGTGGGTGTTATTAACAAGTCCGTTTCACAACCATCAGTTCTTTCTGTGCGGCACTATTTTCCAAACTGTGACTGTAGTCAGTTTTCATCCAGAATATCCTGTTTGCACATGTTCCTTAGATTTGACCTAGGAACAGGCTATCATTTATCATGGTAACCTGCCAGCTGGCTCCTTTGGTTGTTCCAATTGTGCCACTGCTAGCAGCTCACATCTGAGTCACTTTGTCTGAACTAGTGATTCCTGCATTAAAATCAGCATCACTTCTACCTAAAGGACCCAGCTTTCAGTTCTTTACCCCAAAGAACTATTCTGGTTTTGAAGAGATTTGTGATAATAGAACCTTTTGTCTTTGGGAAAAGCTTAAACATGTGAGTGGATGACAAGTAAGTCCAAAGAAGAGAAATCAATGTATCTGGAAAAGCAGAAAGGGGAAGGGAGGTCTGATCCAGACTGAGGTTAGTGGGTCCATGTACAGATCTTGATGGCAGCTTCCTAGTGACAGCTGTAAGGGCATGAGGGTAGATGGTAGACCCTAGATTTTTCCATCCTCATCAGCCACTCCTCAGCCTGCAGCACAGGGCAGAAACTCTTGGCTTCTGGGCCAAAGATTGTGCTCACTGAAACAGTGAACCTGTCAACACAGAACCAAGGAGACATCCTCTATGTTTGGGAACTGCAAACCACCTAGAAGTTCTGCGCTACTTTGGCTAGTGGGCACTCCAACACAGACAAAAAGTAGAACAGCTAGATTAGGGCTTGGAGTCAACTGAAACTTGTTTTACAAAAAGATCTTGAACATTTATTTGTATAACTGAATTCATGATCCACATAGCCATTTCATTTGTTAGCTATGTGTTTTATGTTCTTTCATAAAAATAAGTT